CCCCGCGACTCGTCGTGCTGCTCTCTCGCAACTCCCCCGAGCTCAAACCCTCCGCGCGACCTATCTCGTCGTTCCCAATCCCGATATCCTCTTTCATACCTACCACCTCTGTAGCCATCTCGACCCGACCTCTCATATCTGTCGTCCCTATATCCGTCTCAGTCCGATCTCTCGTATCTGTCGTCCCTATATCCATCTCGGTACGATCTCTCGTATCTGTCGTCCCTATATCCTTCTCGGTCCGATCTCTCGTATCTGTCGTCCCTATATCCATCTCGGTCCGATCTCTCGTATCTGTCGTCCCATCGGCCGCGGGAGTCGTCTCTACCCCGATCGGCCTCATAGCGAGGGCTTCGCGGGTAATCATCCAGCCTCCTTGCTTGCGCAAACGGTTCGCGATCTCTGCGGTCTCGGTCTATCTCATCATCCCTACGTCGCCATGGCTCATCGTCTCTCTCTCTTCCCCTCGTACGATAATCAGTCAGCGTCCGAGGATTTCTATCCTCAACACTCCTCCAGGAATTGTTGTTCCTACGGTCCTAGCGAAGTGAAAAGGGCCCTCCAGGTTTGCCCCGGTAGGCCGTGGCCCCTGTAGTGGTCACAATCTCTGTAACCTATCTCGTCAATCCCTTCACCATGTCCCGTATCTCCTTCACTTCCTCAGCCACGACCTCATTCTTCTCCGACCAGGGATAGTCCTTGAAATCAGGACATCTATCAGTTGCATACTCCTTGTAGAGAGAGAAGTCACGTCTCCTCATCCCTCTCCACACCAAGTCCTTGTAATCGTTTGCCTCTGCCTTTATCGTGAGCTTTAGGATTTCTGAGAAATCAAGCCTGTCGCGCGGAAGATGTCTAAGTATACTATTTTGCCTACCTTTGGACAAGTGTCCGATGAAGATAGTACAGCGCTCGACCTCTGAGATCTTCCCCTTCTTCATCAGCACGTGAGAGATCTTCTGGAAACGCATCCCAAATGCCCGTACGCTCTCATCTTCATCTCGAGTCATTGTTTCAAGGTCTTTGATGCAATACTTGTTATCCTCCAATTTGTAAAGCTCAACGAGGTTCTTCTTGTACGTAGTCCATTTTCCATCCTTCGGTCGAGCTTCCTTAACTTCCCTACCGAGACTTGGGTCCACATTAAATAGGAAGTTCTCTATAATCTCTTTCTCCGACCACTGACTCCGGTTGGCGTGAAGCTCCCACTTCTCCAAATATTATGTGATACCATAGCCCCTGAAGGTAGGAGACCTTGAGGCCTTGTGCGTAATAATATAGCGATCCTTGCTCTCGTAAAAGAGCGGATGTGACTCCCCTGTCTGGGGGTCGAAGACTCGCCTGGGCGGCGCCCTGTCTTTATCTCTGTCTCTCCAATAGGAATCCCTTGAACTCTCTCTCCAGTCGTCTCTGTGCCTATCCGCTATGGTGTCCCTCCGCTCGTACTCGGGGGAGCGTCGCCTCGTCGCTTCTCGTCGTCCGCTCGAGGTACCCATCTTTAGAGCCTCTTGCGGCCCTGTCGCAACTGGTTCGCCCCTTACGTCGGACCATCCGTCATTGGTTTGGTCAGCCCATCTCAGCGGTGTTTCTCGCCTAATTCGTTCCTTCAGATCCCTCAGAGCTTGATCGGGCGATGTCCTGTACTCCTCTCCCGTTTTCCCCGTGGTCGGTTGTGGCCCCATCGTGTCGGGTTCCATTGGACCGCCAGAAGACGCAGTTAGGTATTCTAGCCAACTATTACAGCCCGACCCTATGACAGTCGCTGCAGCCCGGACCTGTGACAGTTGCGGCAGCCCACACCTGTTTCCTTGTCATGGCTCGCGTCCGCCTCCAATCTTAGCTCTCGACTGCCTTGATTACCACTTCCAGTATCCCGTACCGGTCGCGGATTTTGTGCTCTCCCTCTATCCCAAGAGTCTCTGTGTCTAAGTAAACCTCTCCTTCGGGATCGGCCAACAAGGCCGTGCCTCTTTGGATCTGCAGTACACTCGTGAAAGGATCTCTATCCTTGAGACAGATCGCAGTCCCAAACCTAGCCAATGTCTCCTAATCAACACCCCTCAAGAGTCTCCGAGCGTCTATCTCCGTCCTCCTTGCTAGTTCTCCTAGCCCTGTCCTGAATCGGTTAGCCCGCTAAAGGCCCTCCTACTGCCATCCAAAGTCGCCCATCGACCTTTCTAGCTTCCACTATCCTTCCAAGAGTTTCCAATTTCTATTTCCACTCCCTTATCTCTCAGACGGCTACGAGGTCATCTGTCTAGCAGCTGAGGTAAGTTAGTGCTATAACCACTTGTAACCTCATCGCCGACCGCTCGAATATGTCATAAAATGTCTCAAAGTCCTCCTTATCTCCACCACCCTCTATCGCCTCTAAAGTCTTTATCGATTCCTTCCAGTACCGGTCGTGAGCGGCTAACACCTTGAGTATTGCACCATCTGTTATAACTTTCCCTAACTCTCCAGCTTTCCTGGCTTCGCTTATCTTCAACCTCTCAGCCTCTCTGGTCGTCTCGTACCATGCCCTTATCCGAGACCGCCCTTCGAAAAGTGTCACTTGGAGTACGTATTTTATCCTCCGCCCTCCTTCTATTTCAATCCAAAGTCTTGTTCCCCTAGCCTCACGCAGCGCGCGACGGACACACTCTGCCTCCTCAACTATGCACAGTCTGGTATGGAGCTGGAGTTCTATGATCACCAACACTAATGGTCCGTCCAGTCTCCCTACCACATGTAATGAGTACCGATCCGTTGTGTTTAGTGCAGTCCCGCTCATGTCCTATCACTACTTCCCTGCGTTACTTTGTCTTCTGTTGTCTCGCTCTCTGCAGATCGCTCACTAGTTTCTTCGCGTGATACTCTTCTAGCCCTTACCCTCTCCAGAAAGTCTGATCTTCACGCTTGGATAATCTTTTTTTCCTCCCTAAACAGATTCTCTAACTCTCTCGTTACGAGTTCAGCCCTACGCAACTTGCCCTCGTCCTGACACGACCAGATCTCCCTTAACTTGTTCCCCAACTTCTTTACCCAGTTCAAGTGTGGTTCTTTAACGCGCTTTCTCACTCTTCCGACTGCCTCACTCTCCTCTTCCATACTCAGTCCACATCTTTTTCCAGCTCATCCTCTCACCCTCGCTCTAGCCTCCGCTACCGTTTCATCGTGGTAGTGTTCCGCGCGCATATAACCATGAGACCATATCATCACATCATAGGAAATCGAGGTTTTGAAGGTCACTCGCGCCAGTACATCAGCTCTACGCTCGTGGATCAAATCCCTGGCTCGTTGTCTGCACTCACTCGCTGTCAAGTCCTCGTCTACGTACACTCGGAGAAGTACTGTCACAGTGTATCATGCGCTTACCAGTTGCTCTCCTACACGCATCACCTTGGCCGTCCTTCCCGGCATTCCCTAAGCTGCGGCCTCGAAGAGAAATCTCACATCCTCTAGCCCCGCGTAATCGATCTCTGCCCGTCTCCTGCTGTACCTAATCAGATCGATTGGCCTCAGACAGTCCACCCAGCCAGTAACGTCTATGATGTCGTCAAGTGTCTCTCTACTGGGCGGCCCCCACCTCACACAAATGGCGTAGTATACTTCCTTGAAGCGGGGCGCTAAGCCCTCCCAGAG